CCCGGCCGCTCCCCCCGCGCCGCCCCCGCCGGCCACCCCGCCGCTGTTCTTCATCGCTCCCGGGATCGAGAGAGTCGACACTGGCTTCCGCAGCTGGAACAGGGAGAATAAGTACAATTAAGCTGAGAGGAATGCAAGTGGAGTGGCATCATAGGGATTAAACTCATTTCCAAAAAAAAAAAAACAATTTATTCTAAAAATCGTTAATTTATTCTCCCTCTTATTTGAAAATGATACTTACGACAAGAACGTGCATAAATAGCGTGTGCAAAGTCACACTCTGTTCAACTGTCAACAAAATTGACTGAAATTTCAGGCAAAGGATCTGCAGCTTTTTTGCAGACACACTGTCTGAATCTTCGGACAAAATGCTGGCTGAATTTTCAGACAGAATACTGTCTAAATTTTCGGACAAAATGCTGAATTTTCAGACAGAACACTGTCTGAATTTTCAGACAAAATGCTGTCTGAATTTTCAGACAGAATACTGTCTGATTTTTCCGACACATTTCAATTTTCGGACAAACTTTTAGGGTTTCAAAAAAAGAACTCTGATTAAGACAAATTATCTGAAATTTCTTTCAGATCTGAAAATTCAAATAAAGATGTGTCCAAATTTATATAAAATTTTTTACAGTGTACATATATATTTCCAAGACTTTTGAGAGACTTTTAAGGGTTGAAAATTGAAATATTCAAGGAAGACACAGAGAGAGAAAGAGAGAGAGAGAGAGAGAGAAAAGTAGCGAGAAGTAGGGTTTTCTTTCTTCCCTTTTCATTATTTTTTCTTCTTTTGCGTGAGAGAGTGTGACTCATGCTAACTTCGAAATAAATGGCTCAGGACGAGTCGTCTTAATAGCGAGCGCGTAGTCCTGATTTATCGAGCAAAACGTGGGCGGTCGCATAAAATCTTCCAGCGGAAGCTCCCGAGAGGGGCATGAGACGGCTTTCGATCGATGGAAATTATTCCATCTGGCCAGCCAACTGGCGATACGAGTTAACGAGTGTCTCGAATGTGCAGTGCGAAATTCCATGGTACGCGAGCCTCGGCGCGAATCGAAGGGAAAGGAATGTTTATTCAAAAATGTAGCACTTCGTCTGAGAGCTCCGAATGGGATTTCTGTGCAACAAAAAGCGCGTTCCTAATCACGTTAACTTTTTTTCCGGCCGTAGCCGGGGATGAAGTATTGGAATGGTTGTATTTTTTTTATCGCTTGCTGTTTTTTTCCGCTTCAGGCGAGCTTTCAGACGGCATAAAATAAGCAGGAGCTGTAAAGATTTCACTTCGATTTCACAATGGAAAGGCCAATGTTGTCGCTGTCTTTTCTCCTTAAAAAAAAAAGGAGAAAAAGGGAGAAAAGAAGTTTATCTCTCCGACTTCGTGCTAACGCTAGCGACTTGATTACTTCGAAGTAAACACGCACTAATGAAGAAGACTCAATACGTGTGTTTCTAATTTTAGCGCTACATGAGACAAGATACTAAATTTGCTCTTCGTATCAAAAAAATAAAGCTCTAAATTAAATTATTTATATCAAAGGCCATTAATATATAAAAATAAATATCTTTAGTTACAATAAAATAAATTTTGCATCTTCTAATAAAATTTTAGAAAAATTCTCAAAATATTCAATGTTGAAAATAAAAGTTATTTTAATGCTGCAAGTTTCGAATGTTCGAGAATGAGACTGTTTAAATGACACATCGTTTAAGATACTGGATCGAAAAACGTTAAAATCTTTTGCACTATTGTATTTTCAGATATTACAAAATTACTAAAAATACATACACTGTACAAAAAATATAGTGCCACGATTTCGCTTGTAGTGTTTCCTCGACCGATCTGCTCTGTCGCGTTTCCTCTCTCCTTCAGTCCAGGATGAACGAGAAATCTGAGCGCCTCATGTCACAGGAAGACCTGTCGTCGGCGTCTATGTATCCCCCTTCCCTCTCCCCCCCCCGTTCGATTTCACTCCGTATACCGGGTGTGCCGGCCGCACTTTAATACGGAACGGAATACAGAACGGGGCGCATGCACACCTGTCTCTACCAGTGTATGGGGTTGCACGTACGAGATGTGCGGCCTATCGATCCCCCGCTATATTTTCCGAACGCGTTGTCTCTTTTCTATCATCTCGAGAGAGCGCGTCTTCGAGCCGACGAATTAAGTTAGAGAGCGTGGGTTTGCGTGAGTGAGTTTCGTTCAACGATGGTGCTAGAGAGACACCCGTCCTTTTTTGCTCCATTTGCGTCACCGTGAGATTTTTTGTCAACAGAGAGTGGATAAAAGCGCAATTACCAAGTATTTAAGAGTGACAATCTTCTACGACACTCTTCTCGCATTTGAGTCAGGTAAAAGGTAAGCTCTCGCGGATCTTTCAAGGTGCTAAATAATTTATTCCTGTGTTTCGCTGGCGACATTACTTAACTGCGGATAATCAACAGGAAGAGAGGCTCTGATGAGATACTTGCTGGAATATACCGGCAGGAGGAAGATTTCGCGCAGCATGACCTCGTGACCTTTCTCACCAACCGGGGGGTTTAAGGGAGGAAGACTGTGTTACTGGGGGAGGACAGAAAGGGGGATACAGGGATGAGGTGGTGGTAGTCATGGAGACCGTCCCGAGAGGCTTCCTTAATTCAAAGCTTGATTGGCTCGGGCAATCTTAAAACTTGTATATGCTCGACAAAGCTTCTCTCTTTCTCGCTCGTACTTTACGATTACTCGCGACCGCGATAAAGAGCCACGCGAATTGCCAGCGACGTTTCCGACGTTTTTCATCCCTCCCGACTCATATCGATCTTTGAAGTTGGATTATTTTAACTGGAAAATTACGAATTAGCGATGACACGATTGAGTATTAAGTCGATTAAGGGCACATTTGTTTTGAATTTATATTAGATATAAAAATATAAGAGAACTGGATATGCATGTGACACAATATGTATGATAAATTAATAGTTACTAATAGTTACATTGTAAAAAATTTTCTAAAAATTCAGACACATTTTTGTCTGAATTTTCAGATCTGGATGTCTGAAAGAAATTCCAGATAATCTATCTTAATCATCAAAGTCGTTTTTCTGACATTTCAGAAGAGTGTGTCTGAAAATAAAAGTACGTCTGAAAATTCAAACAGCATTCTGTCTGAAAATTCAGACAGTGTGTCTGCAAAAAAGCTACAGACAGTTTGTTTGAAGTTTCAGTCAATTTTTTTACAGTGTATATACATTAAGGAAAAACATAATAATCTTATGACATTGGCATTAAAATCTGTCATAATTTTCGTTACTTGACACTCGTTTTGTCCTCTCGTTTCCTTTTTCTTTCGTTTCCTTATTATAGTTTATTATTTATAGACGATGCTGTAATTTGTTCTAACCTAAAGACATCATACCCTTTCAATGATTCCTTCTCACCGAATCAAATCGTATTAATTTCCTCCGCGTGTAAACCTACCCCATCTATCCCCCTTCCTCTTCCGCCCCCGTTGACATTTAATAAAGTCAACTTTTCCTCTCGCGAAGCCGCAATCTTTCCAGCAACTTGCGGCGTTCTCTCGCGCGAGAAAAGCGATAAAACTGTCGGCCGTCGCCGAAGAAACGAAATATAAGAAGAAGAAGAGCGGGGGAGCGAGGGAGATGGGACGAATATGATCTTCGCTTCGTGCGTATTTGTTGAAGCATTCGATATCTCGCACTCGGGTTTCACACCCGGCTCGGTACATTGTCACCGGTATTATAGTTTCGAGCCGGCAAGAAAGCAGTGTTGCACTGAACCGAGAGAGAAAGAGAGAGAGAGAGAGAGAGAGAGAGGTGAGTCAAGTGGTACGGGATGAGAAGAGAGAGGGTACTAGTATTTGCGGTTCGGTTGTCATACATACGCCCACACTCCTCGGATTAGTATTAAATCTGAACGTCTCTTCACTCGAATTTCAAATACTCGTCTCGTAAGCTACACGCTGTAGCGTGTATTGTTGCGATTCTGGCAGATGTCCCTTGTACATTTCTCTACCGAGTAGTTCGAAAAACTTGGATTTATCCATTCCGCGATGAATTTACACCGTAAAAAAGAAATTGACTGAAACTTCAAAGTGTGCAGTTTTTTTGCAGACACACTGTTTGAATTTTCAGACACACTTCAATTTTCCGACATAGTCTTCTAAAGTTTGAAGAACAACGATTCTAATGATTAAGACAGATTGTCTGAAATTTCTCTTAGACACCCAGATTCAGACAAAAATGTGTCTGAAATTTTAGAACATTTTTTACAGTGTAGAATCGATATATATTATTGACGAAAATACGTTGGCTTTCGCGCGGAACCCATTTAAATAAATTAATTTTAAAATTACTTTTTTGTGCGTTAAACCTTTGTTGAAATATGGTGCTCCTGTCTGGGCCCCATATCAGATCAAATACTATGTTTCTATTGATTATCGTATTTAACATCGATTTCTCCAAAGGGTTAGTTGTTTATAAATAAGCCAATGAGATTTTCTGATCATTTTTATGATCTCTTATTAAATAAATTGAAATTATTATCATTGAATAGTAGAAGGACCTTTTTAAATTTAGTAGGAGGACCTTTTAGTTTTCCTCTATAAAATTGTGGATGGATTAATAGTCTGCCCAGATTTGTTATCATCGTATAAAGTTACATATTCTAGCAAGGTCGCAAAGATTTCACACGCTTTTCTTATAAAAGGTATAAACTCTTAAGAATGTGTTTGCTGGAGAACAATTTATCTGATCATGTTGACTTCTTTAATATCAGACTGACTTCTTTTAAACAATCGCTTTGTTATTATCTCCCTTTTCTTAACTACGTTGATTTAATTCTGTCTGTTGCTAATAGATAATGTATATTAATTTTTAATATTATTCTTATAGACTTTTTTTCTTTTTTATTTACTACTTATATTTTCTGATTTAAATTTGCTCTATCTTTTTTATTATAATCATGTTGTTAAACACGTACTTTATTGCATTATTATCTTATTTGCATCTAGTGATGTATCTTTCTCTTTTTTTTCCTTCTTGTGTACTAAAAGGATTTTCATCCCGTT